TATTTTCAATTTTATATTTCTGTATAGTCTTTCCCCAAATATTTTGAGACAAGTACATCACAGAATCTAACCAATAAAATTATTGTTCCCCAATAAGCCTAATAATGTGCTACTTCAAAGACAAAGTAACGTCCTGTCCATTTATACCTCAGCGATATTGCCACGGTGGAGGAAAGGGAGGAGGAGAGTAATGAGCAGAGAACTTTGTTCTTTGTCTTTCATAAACTTGCTGATCCTAGAGAAGGAAACACAGTGTTAAGTGAGGGAGACATACAAGTAATTCTCCAGGAAGTTAAACTTGATGTAGAGAAATATCCATGAGGAAAGGCACAGGTCCTTTTAAGTATGTGTGCATATATAAAAAATTCAACTCGGTCATTCAGCATTGCCCACTCTTATTTCTCTCCAACTTTTGGCTCCTATTCTAATTCTTTTATAACATCTGATTGTGTGGGTGAGTTAGAGTAAACTCCAATGCTGTGATCTGGCAATTCGTAATTTCTTATTTTGCAAGGAAATAACATTTTTAAGTGCCAAGACTTGTTTAAGGCTCTATGTAAAGTATTTAAATTTAACTCCCACAACAGCTCTACAGTGTAGGAATTATTAGCCCCATTTTTCCCCAAGAAAACTGAGACTCAGGGAAGTTGATGTCACATAGCTAGGAAGTGGCAGAGCAGGTCTTTTCAACCCTAATCTGTCATCATCATCTTCCCACTACCACGTAGCCTGTGATAAAATTTAACAAGTGTATTTAGTGTGGTTTCCCATTCTGCAAATAAAACATTTAAAAGAAGTTCCTGGAAGATTCTAATATATCATTTTTTGTTGTTGCTGAAAGTAACAGAAAAATAAACTTTCAACAACCAAGTCCTGTAACAATTAGAGCTTAAGGTAGAATCATTTTTTTGCACTCAAGGTTACCAATCTTGCACTTTATAGAAATCACAATTATATACTACTAGGTTTATTGCCAAAGAGAACCTTTAAAAACCTTGGCAAGATCTTCTTGACTTTTAAACAAACAAAACAAACTTCTTTTAAGGACCAATATATTACTCACTTTGAAAGAAGGCCAAGTTCCTTGCTGACTTGTGCCCTGTTCTTTTTCTTCTTCACCTTTTCGGTACTTATTGTGGTTTTGCTGAGATACTGCAGAATTGCAGGTACATGAGGTAGAATTAATCGTCCTCCTATTGTGATAGACTCTGAAATAAGTAGTGACAGATGTTTTGGTTTTAATTAACTATTCTCTTAAAGGATAACTGTACAATACCTTCATAATGACAGACAAGAAAAGCATTCAATTACCATGCAAATTTAATAAATTTCAACTCTAAAGATTAAATAACTCTCTTCTTAGTCAAAATAGCTATATCGTTAGCTAAATTAAAAATTTATACAAGAGACCCCTGAGGCTTTATTTAAACCAGTTTTGGTATGGCAAAAGGCTTTTTAGGATAATATGATAGGAAGAATTTAGACATGACAGTGGAAATCATTTGATAATTTCCTGGTGGGTAGTTGAGCTTTCTGGAGCGCAAATAACCTGAATTTCTACCACTGCAAAGAAAACTGAGTTTATATAATTTGGTATTCATTTCCAGACAAAAGAAACTCTTTTACTAGCATTAGTTATTAAGAGAGTCAAATTCTACTGACTTGCTCCTTTCTGAGGGACCAAACGCTGCATCAGAAGTCTAAGAACCATTTGCTTGTACGGCGTACATACCATCTGTGCTTTCTGGGTATACGCATCCAGTTACGGGCAAGCTCAGAACTGTTTCTGTGGGCTCGAAATCTGGAAGGGAAAGAAGGTCATCAGCTATGTCCATCACAGTACTGGCTGTGGTGTCAGACAGATTCTTTGCTGAGAGAATCGCAAAAACATTGGTCAGGATATCACATTCCGGGTGCCCAGGTTTCTGCTTTGCCAGGAAAGGGAAATATCTGCAAGAAGAAAAAACAAACGTTGAAATAGTCATCTTATTTCTCAATGTTTATTTCTAAAAACATGGTCCTAATGAATTTTCATATTGAGTTTAACAAATATACCGGGGGTGCCAAAAAAACGTATACAAATGAACACTTGGGTCAACGTTGCTCAAGCAGTAGTTCGCCGTAATCAGAAGTGTCTGGATGCTGATGGTAACCACTTTGAGCACCTCTTGTAATTGCAGAAGTCAAACATGACTTGTATTCACCTTTTGTTATTGNAGCAGAGCTGTCTTCTACCTGAATGTGCTTCATATTCTCAAAGAAGTCCATTTCTGGATCATGGAAGTCAGTGAGCTGTACCAAGTCTTTAAATTCTGGTTGATTTGGAAAGGTTTGAATTAAACAGGAAAGCAGTGTGGTATAATCCTGATGAACACTCTGCAAGTACCAAGTTGAGAAAAAAAAATTTTATTTAAAAGAAAATTTGCTTCCTAGATAATACAAAGAAACACAAAAAAAGCCACTAAAATTTTTTTTTAAAGTAGAACATTCCCACTGTAAAAACAAACTACATAAAATCAGATATGACTGCTCTCTCTTCCATTCCCACTCCCCTGTTAAAAGTCTGGTTTATACAATCAAGTATTTTAATTAAATTTACTAAACCCTGACTGCTTTTCTAAGCAGAAGTAGAGAAAAATAAAAACATAACCAAAAACCAGATATCAGTACTTAAAAGACAGCTATGATCGCAAGCCCCAATACCTCTGTCTGGCTCCTCAAGCCTTTCCTCAGTTTCTCCAGGAGTGAACGATGAATGATTTCTTTATAGTCTTTCTCTGTGGCATTCAAGGCAGCTAGCTTTTTGATGATACTCATCAGGCACATGCTGGCATTATCACTTAAAGACATGTCTCCTAACTGAAAACAGGAAAAAAAAACCAAATTATTGTGTGTAATAACTGTAATATGGAATTTATTTCCTAGTGAAAGTTCACAAAATTTTGTCACTGCTCTGTGTAAAAATCCCTACTAAGAAATGTCCCACAGGTACTTCATACCTAAGGAAGAACCAAACGTAGGACTGTGAGGAATATAGCAAATGACTTTGAAATACCATGCTTACTGATAAGTGTCACTCAATTTCAGAAAATACTATGACACAGACTTTTAAATTAGTTTTCCTTCTCAAAGTAAATAGAATAAAAGGTTCAGGAAAGCTAGTTTTCAATATTCAGTATCAGATGATCACTGAAAATGGCTGGTTGTAATTCCAGTTAGTTGTAGTACAGTTCCTGGTTTGAGAATGTAGGCAGTGAGGATAGACAGAGTATTTCCTACTCAGCCAACCAGGCAGTGATTTAGAATTCCTAGTGTTGAAATCTGACATGATATATGAAGACTGAGCCCCGAATGGGGAGATTACTTTTTCAGGTATTACACGATCCTTAATGTCAGCTGAATAACCATGAAAAGCCACAAAGGGATTACTGAGGCCATTACGTGGTTAACTATCAATTACAGGTTTCATTTTGCCCATTTTGGGTCTTAATTCAGTTCAGCAACACGGTACTTAATATAGTCCAAACTCCTTTTATTTCTATCATATCAATACAAGAGGGCAAACGCTCAAATAATAGTTATATAACTGACAAACTGAGATATAATTGACATACCATAAAATCCACCCTTTTAAAGTGTACAATTCAATGGTTGTTAAAATATTCACAAGGTTGTGCAGCCATCAACACTTCAGAATATTTTTATCACCCCCAGAAGAAAGCCTGTACCAGTAAGAAGTCACTCCCCATTTCTCCCTCCCCCCACAGCCCTTCGTGACCCCTAAGTTACTTTCTGTGTCTGTGGATTTCCCTCTTCATACACAGCTTTTCTGACTTTTCACAGAGCTTCCACATATATCATGTTATTCAAAATATTTGTCTTTCAAATCATGAGAATAACAACACGGTCTTGGCCAAACAAAATATTCTGAAACTAAAAGAAATTTTATACTAAAAGCCCTTGTCCTCCTGAGAACACAAATTTGGAAATTAGATCATGCAGTTGTATTATCAAGGCAATAAAAAACACTTCTATATGTTTTTTGCTATAAAACATACCTCCAGGTTATAGAAACAATTATGCATAACTGGAATGAGGTAGTTAACATCCACGGTTTGCATCTCTTTAATATAAGTGGTGATGGTCTGGAAGGCTGAGAAGCGAACGTCAAAGTTGATATCATCGAGATGCCTTTGATCAAAGGCGTTAAGCTACGAGAAATGCCATTGAAACCACATAAATGAAGGCATATGAATCTTAAATAAACACAAATGACAATACTTGCGAAGAAAAGTGGAAGGAGATTTTCTTTCTTACCTTGACAACATCAGTAACATATTTTAACCCACTGTCAAAATCAGAAAGAGTCTAAAAGGAATGAAAACAGTATGTTGTTAGGGAATAACACCTCACCTTTTTTGCCCTCCTCCCTTCAACTCCCTGCCCCATCCCCCACCTAAAGAGGTGATTTAGGGTAAAAAAAATGAGAATTACACACCTCGAAAACTGTGCAAAGCAATTGTCTTGACAGCTTGTTCTTAATTACTGAGAAGAGTTTTGCTAGAGGCCTGAGGAAGCTTGGAGGCTCCAGACAATGTTTCAGCAGATTTTGTACTGTCACCAGAATATCGACCTCTGTCTCCTTAAAAAGAAATAGTAAGAGAAATTATAGTTCAGTAATTTATAACACTGCTCAGCTTGGCTTTAATATATTACAGCACAAAAAACAATTATGAGTAAGAAGTAAAAATAGTAGTTGGAAGAGTTATTTCATAGTCTTTTAAAAGTTCTTAGCATTTTAACATAAAACCCATAATAATGTCCATTAATAGTTTCTTTCTTTAATTCTAATAGAAAATATGCCTAGTTCTGGCACAAACTTTCTTCTATCTAGTCAAAAAAGAGCCAAGAAAAATGAGCTTGCTGAAGAAAAATATATACCTCTGGCTGTCTACAGATATGTGGCCTTCTAAACTGAATTACTACATGATTAGATAGGTGTTCAATATAACTACTAAGGCCTTATAAGAGAGTTTGAGCCATGGGAAGACTCTTTTAATCAAGACTGAACTATAGGGCCAGCTGAGTGGCGCATTGGTTAGGAGTTGGCTTGGGATGCCAGCTCTGAGCAGTAGGGCTGCCGGTTTGGATCCCACATGGGCCAGTGACACTGCGCCCTCTACAGCTAAGAGGGTGAACAACAGCTCGACCTGGAGCTGCGCTGCCGTAAGTTGCCAGCGATGGCTCAGGCTGCAGTGGGTCTGCAGTGGGCTGCCGTAAGATACCGTGAGTGGCCGACAGCCAGTGTGAGCGGACATCCAATGGCTGGCAACCGACTGCCTCAGCCGGGAAGAACGCAATGATAATACCAACATGGGCCAGCGAAGCGACGTCCTCCACAACTAGACTGAAGAACAAAAGGACAGCAACTTGTCTGTTCCCCTTCCCCGATTCCGTGACGCTGTTCCCCTCCCTCGATTCTCCAATAAAATTAAAAAAAAAAAAAAAGACTGAACTATGGTTTGAAAACCATATCAGAAACTCTTAGCTATGTCTGAATATTGAAACAGTCTGACTTTTCACTCAGTTTTGCCACTGTGACCCGTATTTAAGATCATACAATGCATTTCTTGGGTTCTAGATTTGTTACTGATCCAAGTCAGAGAGGAAAAAAAATCCTGAAATGGATGAGAAGCTAAACAAAGGAAAACAAAAGGGCTGACACTTTCGGTGTTATCGTAGTTGATAATGTCCCCACCTTCTTGCCTGCCCTCATTCCTACTTCTGTCCCAATTTTTCTCCTCTATTTTCAATTTTATATTTCTGTATAGTCTTTCCCCAAATATTTTGAGACAAGTACATCACAGAATCTAACCAATAAAATTATTGTTCCCCAATAAGCCTAATAATGTCCTACTTCAAAGACAAAGTAACGTCCTGTCCATTTATACCTCAGCGATATTGCCACGGTGGAGGAAAGGGAGGAGGAGAGTAATGAGCAGAGAACTTTGTTCTTTGTCTTTCATAAACTTGCTGATCCTAGAGAAGGAAACACAGTGTTAAGTGAGGGAGACATACAAGTAATTCTCCAGGAAGTTAAACTTGATGTAGAGAAATATCCATGAGGAAAGGCACAGGTCCTTTTAAGTATGTGTGCATATATAAAAAATTCAACTCGGTCATTCAGCATTGCCCACTCTTATTTCTCTCCAACTTTTGGCTCCTATTCTAATTCTTTTATAACATCTGATTGTGTGGGTGAGTTAGAGTAAACTCCAATGCTGTGATCTGGCAATTCGTAATTTCTTATTTTGCAAGGAAATAACATTTTTAAGTGCCAAGACTTGTTTAAGGCTCTATGTAAAGTATTTAAATTTAACTCCCACAACAGCTCTACAGTGTAGGAATTATTAGCCCCATTTTGCCCCAAGAAAACTGAGACTCAGGGAAGTTGATGTCACATAGCTAGGAAGTGGCAGAGCAGGTCTTTTCAACCCTAATCTGTCATCATCATCTTCCCACTACCACGTAGCCTGTGATAAAATTTAACAAGTGTATTTAGTGTGGTTTCCCATTCTGCAAATAAAACATTTAAAAGAAGTTCCTGGAAGATTCTA